AGGGGCTGGGGATTTAGCTCAGCGGCAAAAGCGCCTGCCTGGCAAGCGCAAGGTCGTGAGTTCGGTTGCCGGTACCGGAGAAATGACTGAGAATACAGCTTAGTGGCACAGTGCCTGTGTGCCTTCAGATGTGAAAAAAAAAAAAAAAAAAAAAAAAAAAAAAAAAAAAAAGAATCTCTAAGAAAAAATGCAATGTAAATAGTTGTTATAGTGGTGTAGGGAATAATGCAAAAGAAAAAAAAAAAGGCCATAATGTTCAGTACAGATGCATTTGATCTGTGTTAAATTGAATACCTGGATATGCAACGTAGGATCATAGGAGGCCAACTATACTTAAAATCAATATTACTACATACAAATTAAAGTTTATTAAAATTGATTAATAAAACCCTCTAAAGGGTTTGAACAGTGAGTTCTGGCAAAAACTGATTGAATTCATCCTATCATTTTCTATATAAGCTGCTTTATCCAAAGCCACATAGCTACTTAGTGACCTTTTTACTCTTAAATGTATTTTCAGCTTATAAAATCTGTGAGACAACTGCTCATAATTGTTTTTCATTTTTATCTTATGCTAAAGCATCTTTATGATGAACTTAAAGTACGACCTTTAAAAATAACCTGGTTTTCTGTCACTAATTCTTTCAATGACAATAACTCAAAATGATTATAACTATGACACTTTAACATTTTAACGACTTACCAGGTAATTTTTCTCCAGTAACACCCTAGGTATTAATTGTACCCTTTTAGGGATGAATCTAAACTTGCAGCAGATGAAAGTTAATGACTTTACCAAGGCTCAAGCTGTGACTAGCACAACTATGAATAGTTTAGACTGGACAACCATGTCCCCTTTTTGGAGGACCATCTGGACGACTCTTCTTAAAAGAAGAGCAATTATCTCCGTCTTGGCTAAACCTGGCCCTATTTTCATGTATTGATATTTACAGAGCTGGTTAGGGCTTTTCCTTATCCCTTCAACTGGTTTTAGCAACGCAAGTCTGTCCAGAGGTGCTGATGTGTAGTCTTTGAAGCAAGGCGACAGGGCAGTGTTTCCCAACCCTGAAGCTCCCCAAAAATATGTGTGAGGCAGGGCGGGATGCGCTGTCAGGGCAGGATACACAGTGGCTGGGATGGAGCCTCAACATAAGAGGCTATGACTTCCCAAGGCATAAAAGATTACATATCAGAGTTGAAGCATGGACTCCAAAACATTAGATATTAACTCAATTCTGTCACAAAGATTACTCTTTCTGCATATTGCAGAGGTGATTTCAGGCTTCCTACCTAGTCTAGCTCACAGCACTCATATATTTCCCAACATTCGTCACTCATCCTCAAACCACTCCCTTCTTCACAAATAAAACCTGGATTTGGCCCTGAATCAGTTAGCTATCACTGTAGCTGGACTTAGGACGCCTTGGCTCTCCCTAACTACAAATATGCCTTAGTGTCTTTATTCTTGCCATGGGTTGCACTGGAAGTGGTAGGTCGGAATTAACTCACTAGAATTTCAATAACTTTTCCATGGGATTACAACTATAAACTTCCTGGGCCACAGTGAGGACCGGGAAGGGCTCTCTATACTCTTCACCAGGCTATTATAAAAGCCTAAACTCATTTACTAAGACTGCCAAAATAAAACACTACAAACTGGATAGCTTAACAACAGAATCTTATTTTCTTATAATCTTGTAAGCTAGAAATCCCAGGTCAAGGTGCCAGCAGGTTGGGCCTCACAGGGCCCTTCCTCTGTGCATGCATGTTCTCAGTGTCTGTTTCTCTTCATATAAGCATTGCAGGCCTGTGGGATAATAGCCCCACACAAACAGCCTCGTTTTTACTTAGCGCTTTACAGAACTATCTTGAAATACGATTATATTCTGAGGTACTAGGGTTGGGACCTGTACATATGGATTTGGGGGTGAAGGGATACAATTTAGCCCATAACAAATCTCTTAGTCTTTCTCTATCAAACTAGCTTTCCACTATCTGTACATGTAGCAGACAGGTACCTACCAAATGCAAATTTAATCATTTTCATCATCTTTGTAGTTTGCTAAAAACACTTCAGGGACACTCTACTGCCTTAAAGACAGAGATCAAAATCCTCCAGGTGGCTTTCAATCCTATTTATATGTTCCCTACTTAACTTACTAAGTTGTCTTCTAGCTGCATTCCTCCTACATTCTAGGCTACAGTGATAGTAGTGTACTCTGCCACTCTATATTCACAACAGATACTCATAATTCAAATTATTCATAAAATCGCTGTACTAGTCCAGAGACATCATATGCATAAAAGGTTGTACATCAGATTTAGGAAAAGTTTTATCATTCTTTCACAGGCATTGTTCACAGAGTTATCCTATACTGAGTTTAACACAATAAGAAAATATAGAAAATCTGATGCAGGCTTTTCCTTGTCAGAGAATAAATTATTAAAGACCACATATTTCAATAAATCTGAAATGAAATTAATTCAAGTTAAAGGAAATTCAGAGTTTTCTTAAAAATCACAATATAGGGGATACTTATTGATATTAATGCGATCATTCTCATTATTCTTATTACCTGTTGAGTTCATCCAGACATAAGCGCAGTGTTTCATATGTTGTTAGAGCAATTTCACATTTCCTCTGCCTTACACGAATCAATTCATTGTCCTTTTTGTTACCATGTAAAACAGTGACTCTGAAATATCCCCAGGTGTCCAATTCATCTTTCCAGTTGTAGAGGACAGAAAGAGGAGCAACTATTAAAAACATCTAGAAGAAGAAGAAAACATTTTTGATGTTTCTTAAAAATAAAAAAGAACTACGAAGTGAAATAGAAAATTAAGTCTTATTTTTAGACGTTGACAGTGTAGTTAATAAGAATAAATACAAATTAGTAATTGGCTCTATTTGGTCACAGAAGACTTTTAAAAGCTACTTTGTTGCTTAATTAGCTTTTTATGAGGACAGATACCTAATCGTGTCCATAGGATCAGCTTTTTTTATTCTCACTCCCAAAAGCAACTGAAAGATTAGTTATGTTTCTCACTGCGAAGACAAAATACCCAACACCCAAAGTTAAAGGAGGAAGTTTCTAGAGCTTTTAGTGTATACCTCACAGTTTATAGAGGTTTCAGTCCATAATGAGCTGGCTCCAAGGCAGGGTGGCATGGCAAACAGGCATGACAAAGGAGAAACAGTTCAAGGTGGGCAGAAGATAACAAAGCAAGCAAGAGGTGTAAGACGAGGCTCTTTCTGTCCCTTATATTGTATCCAGGCTACCTGGAATATGGTGCCAAACCAATCAGTGGACTGATTTAGTAATCACACACCCTTAACCCCAGAATTACATACTCTACATTCAGCCACCACTGAAAAAGCCCCACCTATGACTGCATGAGGCTTTAGGGGGACATCTAGACACAAACCATAACATTCCAGCCTGGTTCCCCAAAGACACATGTACATTGCTTTACACACAAGGCACTTAGTCCATCTCATCTCTAAGAGTTGCCAAAGTCCTAATAGTTTCAGTATTGCTGAAAAAGCTAAATCCCAAGTCTCCTCTGAGACTAAAGGCAAACTCTTAGCTACAGGACCCTGTACAAATGCAAAGTAAACACTTTTAACATTCAATGGAACAACACAAATATTACCATTCCAGAAGGTACAATAAGGAGATACAAAGGAATGAGACCAAAGCAAAGCCAAAATTCAGAAGAGCAAACATTAAGTCCTACAGTTCCATGTCCAGCATCCCTGGCAATCTGTGCAAGTTGTGAACTCCAAAGGGCTTGGGTGGCTCTGCTCCTATGACACTGAGAGTGGTATAGTTCCCAAGGCTTCTCTTGGGCCAGCTCTGCTGCAGCCAGCCCAAGAGAAAACTGCTCACTGCAGTTTCCCTCAAACAATCCATGTTTCTGGCTTCTCCAAATTTTGGGGGTCTCAATTACACCTTTAGCTCCACACAATACCCTCTCAGGGAGACTCTCTGGTCTCCCAGATCTTCTGAAATTTAGATGGGAGCCTTTCTTATAGGGAACCAATCTTCCCCTGTTGAGTCCCTGTTTTGGTGTCACCTGTAGGTACCCAACCTTCTCCAGTCAAGTACCTGTTCAGGCACCACTTGTAGGGACCTAGTCTACTACTTTGTCCCTGGGGGGTGGGTAGGACACAATGAGGGTGAAAGACAAAATGATATAGAGTTATTTTAGACTGCAGTAGCCAGGGATTTCTTGCTTCTAGTGGACAAAGAGTCCTGAGTTTCTGGCTAACCTTGCTTTTATTCACTTATATGAGGAACAAGCAAGCAGGGTAGCATAAGATTCATCTACTTCCTATCATCTAAAGTGTATTTCCAGGTAAACAGCTTGTACTCAGTCAACTTTTCCCTAGAACTTACAGTGTGCCATCATGTCTGCATATTGCCTTTCTTCTTCATGCTCACAGAAGTCAATTAGGCCTCAATTCCTATTATCTGGTCTCCCACACTTCCTAACTCCACAACTCTTGCATTTTGCAAGCACTTAAAACCAGCACCACGTGGATGATACTAAGATCTTACAAACCTAGAATCAAGGCTACAGAAACTATCCTAATCTTCCCTTTATGACTAGCTTTCCCTTTTTAGTGGACTACACTCATCTATAAGCAAATACACTATTCCTCAGGGTTTTAAAAAAGCAAACAATTCAAAAAGCAAGCAAAACAGTCCTTGTTAAAATTACTAATATATCTATTTTTTACATGAATTCTGTGGGGTTTCACTGATTTTTCTATAGTAATCCTGAAAACTGCTGCCATTTTAATGTTTCTATTTCTCATTATTACCAATACTGCTCACCTGTTATGTATAACAGGGTTAATAGTAAGTTTCTTTTCTGAAGTTTTATACTTGCCGTAAGTGACAGAGATGAACTAATTAAACATTTCTGTTAAACAAAAATAACAACATACTGCTAAATCCTGCACTCCCTTCTGAAAAACATTTTATCTAGCCACTTTTCACCAGTACAAAGTCAAATCTATGATTGTGTTTTGAAAAGAAGAAAATAAAGATTAATCTACTGAATGCGAGAGCTCCTTTTCCCTATCCTATTATCAAATGTATCTGAGTACTTTCTTGTCTTGCTTGGTTCACTTAAATACTTTGCTTTTGGGAGTTTACCCTATGGTTCTATCTTTCTCCTACTTTTAAACATAAAACCAGGGCTCCAAGTGCAGGACAAGTATAGCGTCTCTGTTTGAATTTTTATACATTAAACTTGAAATTGGTGGGTTCAAATTCTATCTGGGCACTCTCAGTAGGTTTCCAAAATTCCAGTAGTACCTACTATACAACTGTAGTACCAAGAACCTATCCTAGAGTTATAAACGTAAAAGTTGCCATGATTATATATATATATATATATAAAGTTCATTGTTGAAATTAGTGGTTTGCAAAGGAATAGATTTGATACAGGACACAAACATTTATAGGAGTATCTTATAATATTCACTGAAAAAGTCAAATGCCAAAGAATGCAAGGGAGCTGGCTGCATGCTAGAGACCAGAAGAATCCAGCCAGAGGCCTAGATCCCATAGCAATGTCTCATGCAACTCCCTATCTAGTATCTGCACCAGGAAGACCCAAAGGCCAGTGCTGGAAGCTAGAAAGTCTAGGCTGGCAGGGGGAAGGATCTGTCAGAAGGCTGAGGGATCTACACTGGAGCCAGGCAGCAAAGACCAGAGCTCTCCTGAAGAGAACAGCAGCCATCCCCAAGCTCCCTTGCGACGACCCAAGCTCCTCTGACTATGAAAATAGCCCAGTTCATATGAGGAAAACCAGTCACAACAAAGTTTTTCCTGGGAAATCAGCAGCATACAATCTTCCCCCTCCCGTTTTCCTTTTATGCCATGCTGGCAACAATCTTCAGGTGAATCTTCCACACTCAGCACCAAGCTGACTCAATTTAGCTGGGCATTCTCACTTTAACTGACCATTGGTTAATCCACCACATTCATACCAGCATCATTTGCAACACACCCTCTTGCTGTATAACGGGAACTAAAGAAATAACGCATATTAAGCAACTGAAAACATTTTTGTTCAACCACTACTGAAATTACTTTTTATGCTGGTGTTGTGATTCCTAGAAAAATCTACTTCCTCTATATTATGAATTCTTCTTAAGATCTCTAAAGTTTTATTATGTAAAATAGCAAGATTTTCAAATGAACTTAGTATAATTCATTTTCCTAAAGACGGAATTACAAGAGAAACTTAGTCTAAATATAAAGAAATCATTCCATGAGTCAGTATCTGAAAAGAAGAGTTTGTATCTTTTTCTTTAGGAATTTATTCTTGGCACACCTATTTCACACATTCTTTGATGATTTATTCACACTTGAAAAATTTTTAAATGTATATAACATGTATCATATCATATAAACACATATTTTGAACCTACCACTCCTTAATTTGTAACATTCAATTCATTAAAAGGAACTTTTTTCAAGGAGTTCCAACATTAATTTTTTAGGATTCTGTTATAATCCCAGCATTAGCGTAAGTATAAAGGAATTTATTTCTTTAGCTATTTTATAAACCGTCTTTTTAAAAGCACATTGCTTTAAATGGACCAATACAAACTGATCTTTGGAGAATTTCATCAAAGTTATACTTTTTGTTTGGATTTAGTTCAGGGAAACACTATAGCATGTCAATAGTGATCTTATTAAAAAGTTTGAATTCCAGTTCAAGTGCCAATGAAAAAAATATAAAAATAAATTTATAATAATAGTGCTAGAATGTCTGGTAGGGCACCACCAACAGATCGGAACATGCAGGAGCAGATGGGACCCAGCATACACGGTGAATAGAAAAAGAAATTGATCCTGTATGAATGAGAAACCCCCACCCAAACCCCAAAGGGGTCAATTTTCCAAGAAGGAACCTAAAGCAAAAACAACAAAACAAAGCAACTGAGACATTTGGAAGGACTGAATCAAGAAAAGTAAAGCCAAGTGATTTTAAGAAGGAACAGTTATAGCAGTCCTTTGTCAAAGAAGCTAATTCTAACATTAGTAACTAACTTCACCTACATAAAATGTTGACTGAAGTATTTCTAAAGTGGAAGCTATTTGGAGAGTTAGAGATGAGAACAGTTTTTAAATTTTAAAGACGAGGTCCTGAACACTACAAAAACAATAAAAATTTCCTTTCTAAGGAGAGAAAGGATTGGTAATGAAGTCTCCTTTATAATATGGAGTAATAGAAGATAAAAAGATTTTGGTCAAACTGTAAAATAAACTTTTGAATTTAAGCAAATAAACTGTCTGTACAGCAAGTGTAATATACAAACACACAAAACTTGTGAAACAAGGCAGGTGTGGTGGTTTATGTCCAAAATCCCAATACTGTGAGAGGCTGAGACCACAGGACTGCAAGTTCTAGCCCAGCCTGGACAATTTAAGAAGCCAGTCTCAAAATAAAAAGTAAAAAAGGTCTGCGGGTGTAGCTCAATTCGAAGGCCCTGGGCTCAACTCCCCTAGACTGCAAAATGGGGAGGAGATTAGAGGCAATAACAATTTTAATACCTTATTTCAGTAGATCTCAAAATCTTGCACTAAAATGGTCCTTATAATAGACAAGAGTAAACCTGAATTTGTTAGCTATCTTATGTGTAAGATTTGTGGAAAAGAGGCTCTATTTTAAAACTTGTGGTAAGGAGTTCAACACCATAATAAAATAATGATTTTCATAAAAGCACTTTATTCCTATCCAGTCTCCTGGATGCTGAAGATAATACAAAAGATACCTAAGTATAACGTATGGTTTGTGTATGTCATTGTTTTATTAAAAATCTCTTTTTATAAGAATCACGTATATATAGTCCATCAATAAAATGTATACACAACTCAGGAAAAGAAAAACAGTATGTTTTTTCAGCAGATGGTGTTACCCTCATATGGGCGAACCTAGAGGATGTCCTGTATTGCATAAAACATATTATACTGCCAGCCCTTACAGAAGAAATTGAAAATGCATGTGCTGCAATCTCAATGACCAAGGTTACCTAAGCAGCAGTTTGCCATACTAATAAATGACTAGAATCCAGTGGCTACCACTTAGAGCATAGCTCAATAAACTTAGCATTAAATATTTATCCAAGTTTTTTTTTTCCTGAAGTGTGTATACATTTTTAGTGGACTCTGTACTTGTAAGTATACATTCATAAAGCTTAAGTATGCATATAAATAGGACTCAGTCATATGATGGGTAGAACAAAGACAAACACAGACTAAGTCTTTCTAATTTCAACTTCCTTGAATATGTAGAATTTGTTTCGTAATTTTAACAACTTAGTTTGCTAAGTAACTTTAAGTGTCAATGAAAACACCTTTTAGTATCCGTGCCTGTCTCCTTTTCATTCTCACATCAATAAAAAACAACCTAAAGTTCAAAATGCACAATAAATATTGTGAACTAGGAAGGAACTGTTTAAAAGAAAAGACAAACTGTGATGGGAGAAGAGGGAAAGGAAGAAAGGGAAAAAGAAAATAATATATGTATACATAAGATAGTTATGATAGTTATACAGCTAGTTTCTCTTAGTTCACTGAAGAAAGGTTTGTGCTAATATTGTTTGGACATGATATCATGCCTGTATCTTGTACTCTCAATAACTACTATGAAGGCAACAATACCCAATGTATTAATTATAGTAACTGTCCTACTAACCTGTTTTGAAGCTGTTTCATTGTTATTTTTATCTTTTTTTCTTTGACAGAAAAAAAACCTAAAGTATTCTTAAATTAACTACATTTACATTCATAGAGGTTTAACAAATAGATCAGAGTAAATCACATAAATACAGTCTAGCAACAGAATAAAACTACAAAACAAGTTTAAGCTCAAATTATATTTTACCATTCTTGAGACAATTTAACTAGTGGATGAAACTGGTAATCCTTTAAAAATTAGGACTATAACATAAATATTCTAACATCATTAAGCTCTTACATTTAAAAATTTATACTGTATTATGTGATATTTAAATGCTTCTATATACCTTTGCAATACTGTGAGGATCACTCAGACTGCTTCAAGGTTCAGGGATGCCTAAGGACATCTGAGGATGTGACCTCGCTTATCTAGTACAGGCACACAGTGGGATACGGTTATGTAACGATGACTTAGCACAGGTAAACACACATGTGCTGGTTACTGCACTGTGTAAGGATGTAAACATGAGATAATAACCTGTATAAGAATTATGCAGTAAAGATGCAAAGGGCTCTTAAGCTCTGGCTCTCTGCTCTACTCCATGCTGACTGCTGTTGTTGCTGATGTCTTGCATATATATGTTCTCTAACCTTGGAACCTCACCCACAGAAATCTCTCTTGGGTCCCTTGAGTGGGCTGACAAATACCATCTTCCTAAATTGAATATCTGTAGATACTTTACCTTTTTTGTTGTAGAAGTGGGTTCTTTCTTCATACGTCTTAGTAAAAACTCTGGCATGTTATTTTCAATATCCTCATGAGTTCCCTTTTTATGCAAAACTGCAGCCAGAAATGAAATAACCTGGGGGGAAAAACTTTTTCAATCATTGTGTACAATGTATCATGATGTATAAAATTTCACTCTTGTATGACTACCCAATTAGTGACAAAGTATGTAAAAACAGATTTTTTTAGGAATAAAAATACAGGGCCAGGGATATAGCTCAGTGGCAAAGTGCCTGTCTGGCAAGCACAAGGTCCTGAGTTCAATTCCTGGTACACCTATTCCTCAAAATTTGAGGAATAAAAATATATCACAAAACATTAGTGCTAATTTTAACTATTTGTATTACCAAATAAATGTACAATAGTACCTTATCTGTGAATACATTAAAAAAAAACAACATTACCGGCTATCTAATCAATGAATTCTTTCTTAATTCCATCAGTTGGACCATTACCTTCTTATTTGTTTTTATCCATGAAAACTATCTCTACATATTCTCTATGAAAATAAACTACATATATTCTTTCCTTAAAGGGAGTAACATTTGACTCATGAATTTGTGAATTTCTGTTTATCTAATAAGTATAGTGGAATGTTATTTTAATAGTCTAATATAATTCATCAATGTGCCCACCATTTTGAGTAACAGCTGTTTTCCAAAAATCAAGTGAGAAAGATAGAAAAAAGAACATATAACCACATACAACAAATAGCAAGAAATATTGAATCATTTAGATGTTGGTTCAAATTTTAGCTCTGATCGCTTGGCAGCTATACGAACTTGGGGAAAGTAGTTAGCCTCCCTGAATAACGTCTGTAAAAATAGTAAAAACAATATTGGTAAGGATATTTTACATGTATAAGATGTAATGATTTTATCCCAACAAATTCGGGAGAAAAGAAATTTTTGATGAGATGGAGAAACAGAACTTATCAAAACCGGTATAAAAGGAAATAGAATTTATATACTCATATAACCTTAAAAGAAAAGTGACCACATAATTATAATCTTTACACAAAGAAAATTAAGGGCTAGATGGTTTTACCAACAAAGTGTACCTAATGCTTCGGAAAATATTACACCAATCTCAAAACTCAGGGTTAAGAAAAAAGGGCAAAATATTCTAAGCTCTCTTATGAATTTAATATAACCTTGATAAGAAAAAATGATAACATTGTAATTTCTCTTACTCATATATAAGCAAAACAAAATATCAGCAAACAAATAAATGTAAAAAGAAATATAAACCAAAACTAAGATGGGTTCATTCTACAAATACAAATGTGATTTAATTTTCAAACTTAAGGTATTAAGTATTAACTAGCTATCTTAGGTATTACCCTTAGCATTTGTAGTTTTTAGTTTCTTTATGGGACAACTCATAATAAACTTATACTTACGTGAAATGGTACATTAACTTTAAGTACACTGTGAAAAATTGAGAATGTACATGTAAAATCTTAAGACTAGATTAACTACTAAAAAGAAAAAATAAATTATAGCTAAAAAGTCAACAGAAGAGTTAAAATTCTAAAATATATCCTATCAACGTGAAAGAAGGCAGGGAAGAAAAACAGAACAGAAAACAGGAAGAAGAGAAAACAACCAAATGTTATGTGAAATTCAAACATAACAGAAATTGCATTCAATGTAAATGGACTGAATATTCTATCAGAGCTTGTAAAAACAGACAAAAGAGCTATCTACAAAAGACACACTTTAAATATAAAGATGCTGATAGCTTGAAATGAAGGGTGGGGAAAAAAGACACCATTTGAAAGAAGGCATAAGATACTGGAATGGCTATTTTAATATTAGAGCAGATTTCAAAGAATGTGGTGAGAAATACAGGGATATTGGTTAATTCTTCAAGAAGACATAGCAATCATAAAGGTTTAGGACTCTAATAACATAGTCTCAACATACATGAAGGGAAGAAGAAAAGGAGAAACAGCTACATTCACCACTGTAGTATATTTTAACTTCCCGCTCTTCACAATTCATAGTAAAGACACAGAAAATCTGAACATTATCAATCATCTTGAGCAGCTAATTGATACTTATAGAATACTATGATATACTCAATAACTGCAGAATACATATTCTTTTCAGATGTACATAGCATGTTCAATTAGATGGGCAACAAAGCAGCTCTTAATGAATTTTTCAAAATTCTAAAATCTTACAGAATATATCCTCTAACTACTAGAGAATTAGAAACCATAATGACAAGATACCCAGAAAAACAATGACAAATGAACTATATTCTTGTAAATCTAAGGATCAAGGAAATATCAGAAAATATTTTGAGTTATATGAAAATTAAAAACACAGCAAATCAGAATTTGTGGGACACAGAAAAAGCAGTGTTTGGAGAGAAATTTTAGAGCACAGAAATGTAAGTATGAAATTAGTGACAAAGCTTCCCTGTTAAGCTAGAAAATGAAAGGCAAAATGCTCTCAATATAAGCAAAAGAAAAATAATGGAGATAATTGCAAAAATCAATGAAATGTCTGTCGAACAAATGAAAAAAATTAATAAAGCTAAAAGTTGTTTGAAAAAAAGTCAACAAAATCAGTAAATTCCAAGTCATGCTAATCAAAAATAAAATAGAACACACAATATCTACATTAAGAATGTAGGGAATTATTATTCACATCTTAGAAAAATTAAAAGAAAAATAAAGAAACATGAAAAACTTTATGTCAACAATTTGAGAACTTGGACAAAATGGAAACACTGACTGAAACTGACACCATAAGAAACAGAAAATCTGAATAGCCTCATATCTGTTAATTGAACTTCTCAGAAACGTTCCCCAAAAGAAAGCTCTAGGAACACATGGTTTCACTACTAAATACTACCGAATATTTAAGGATAAAAGAATACAAACCTTAAATAAACTCTTTGAGGGGAACAAAAAGGGAGAGAATATGTCCCAATTTATTTTGTAAAGACAGTATAACCCTGCTACTCAAACCAGACAATCATAAGAAAAATTCAGATCAGTACACAATAAACATTGGTGTAAACATTCTCAAAATTCTCGCCAACTAATTGCAGACATAGGTAAAAATGATACCTCATACCAAAACTGTGTCTATTCCAGGAGTAAAAGCCTGCTTTAACATTAAAAACCCATCAATACAAGTCATAATGATTTATCTAATTAGTAATATATTGACAGAATAAAGAAGAAAACCCAATGTTTATTTCAACAGACACAGGAAAACTACTGAACAACATTTAATACATGTTCGCTATTTTAAAAATCTCAGAAACTAGCACTAGAAAGAAACATGCTAAATCTGATAAAAGAAACTATGAAAAACCTACAGTTAATATTGTACTTAAGGTTAAAATATTGAGTACTTTCCCCTAAGATAAGGGTGTCATCTTTATTACTTTTATTAAAATTTACTAGGGCTCTATCTATCTAGTAGAATAAAAGAAATAAAATGTATAAAGACTAAAGAAAACTAAAATTGTCTATATGCATTTGTAGATGGCTTTTTTCCCCCCAATATAACAGATTGAACCCAGGGCTTATGCACTGAACTACACCCCTTGCTCTTTTTATTTTTTCAGACAGAGTCTCACTCAATATTTAAATTGCTCATGCTGGGCTTGAATTTAGGACCCTCCTGCTTCAGCATCCCAGAATTCTGGGATTACAGATGTAAACCGCCATGTCCAACAGGTATAACCATTTATACTGAAAATCCTAAAGCATCTATAAAATGACTACTAGAATTATATAAAGAATTCAGTAAAGTAAGAAGGTATCTGGTCAATACATAAACATAGAAATTTTATTTATATACGCCATGAGCAAAAAATTGGGGAATTAAATGAAAACCATCCACTGGCACTGAAATTATAATTATGAGTGAAGTTTACAAAATGAGGCCCACATACAAAAGGATAAAACACTTCTTAGAGAAGAAAAGACCTAACTCCATGGAGCAATATAACATATTCATAGATTTTTAAAATTTCAACTATCCCCAACCTGATTTATAAATTTAATACAGTAAATGTAATCCCAATAAATGTATTCAAGGAAGCTGACAAACTGATCAAAAGTTTGGAAATTCAAAGGGACAAACAAATTATCATAAAAGGAATACAAAGAAATTACCATAAAAGTGAATATAAGGTCAAGTTGAACAATGGTACAGGATGAAAAGACCATAAATAGATCCACTCACATCTGAACACTTTATTTATAACAGAGGTAGCATGGCAAAATGGTACTAACAATTTTTTCAATAAAAACTTTTAAGACAAATAGATATCTAGAGGAAAAGTGAGTCTTCATGTCTATGTCATACTGTGCACATAAACTCACATATGCACACACATCAGTGCTAGGGAAGTGGTGAATGTAAAGGTGAAAGTGAAAAGCGTACAGAACCCTAAAAATGCTGACCATGAAAGGAATGACTGATTACCTCAAAATTAAACATTGTCCTGAAAAAGGATATTGAGAAATGGAAAAGATGAAACCTTCTACCTATTGTTCAGTGTCTCTGGAGGGCAGGTTAACAGTCTCCATCAAACTTCAAGATACAAATGCATTTGACTCAGAGGTCTCATTATCCTACATATATTCCCTATTTGTAATTAAACAGACAAAACTCAAAGCCCTTTCCCTATAGGAATGGTAAAATAAATTACAGAATATCTATTCTATCATATGTAGTAATTTAAATTAAATAAGGCAATCTCTACATGCAGATACAGAAAGCTCGCCAGGATCTCCATTTAAGTGAAAGACCAAGAGGTAGAATAACATATTAAAGAATGACCCAATTTAATTTATTAATACATACATATCAATTAACATTAGAGGCTGTTCAACAAAGTAAGAAACAAGATTGTATCTCATAAAAATTAGAAACTCTTCTATACTCAATTACAGTATTAAGAAAGTGAGGACAAACTATAGAATGGTAGACAGTATTTATAAATCATGTATCTGATAAGGGTTCAGTATCCAAAGAAGTGTTATAACTGGATATAAAGCAGTGTTATGACCTGATAATGAAAAAGACAAACCAACCAATTAAA